TATTACGGCAGAGAGTGGCAGAATGAATGCCGCAAAATTCCCACATTGCCATGGTGCGTTTATAAGAAACAACGTGGCGGCAGTGTTACATTGAATTGCCGGCATGGTTTGTCCCCTAAACTAGGCTTTTGACACAGATACAGATTCTTTGATGTATTTGCCATAGTCAACCTTATCACAGGTGAAGATTACTCAGAGTGCAGGCAGTGAACACATGATGTTCTGTACAGGAAGGGTCAGAAAAGAGTAACTGCTGTGGAAACTGTTGTCTTCTGGAGACTTTTTTGACTCACAGGTGGCATCAGACATGTTCTATGGTGTAGTTTGTTTGAGCAGCAGCTCATTTTCAATTCAATTCAAGTTTATTTATATAGCGCCAAATCACGACAAGAGTTGTCTCAAGGACCTTCACATAGTAAACATTCCAATACAGGTCAGTTCAATAAGCCAATCAGAAAAAAGTTTCCTATATAAGGAACCCAGCAGGTTGGATCGAGTCACTGACTAGTGTCAGAGTCTTTACAGCAATCCTCATACTAAGCAAGCATGCAGCGACAGTGGAGAGGAAAACTCCCTTTTAACAGGAAGAAACCTCCAGAGGATCCTGGCTCAGTATAAGCAGCCATCCACCATGACTCACTGGGGATCAAGAAGACAGAAAACACACACACACACACACACACACACACACACACACACACACACACACGCACGCACGCACGCACGCACACGCACACACACACACAACATATATACCAAGTAATGTGTCTATAGTTATATTGTGATTTCTTAGTAAATATTTTGTTTGGTGAGAGATAAACTTTATTGTATTTATCCTAGTGGATCTATAATTAAATGGGTAAACTAGTAGTAGCACATCCAACGTCAAGGAAAGCAAAAAGCCATTATCAGGAGAGGGAGAATGTTTAAGTGGTTAGCATCAGTGTTCAAGCCGATGGCCCCCTCCATGAGGCCACCACAGCTCAGCAGAACATAATTGTAGCTTCTTCTGGGGAGAAAAGCACTTACAGAAAAAATAAAGTTAACAGCTGAAATAGCAGGAAATAATACATTTAAAGAGCAGATTGTAGAAGAAAGTAGTCGAGTGTGGAAAGTGGTCAGTATGTCCTCCAGCAGTCTAAGCCTATAGCAGCATAACTACAGAGATAACCAATTGGAACCATAGATATTGTAAAAAGAATTAGGAAACTCCTGCCGTATCCTGAGGACAACCATAGACGGCAGGACGACCCAAACTCTGAGACCCAGATACCATCAGTACCGGGACGCAAAGCATACTTTGTTTCTTTATATTAATATACAAACTGACAATCAAAAAATCACTGATTGTACATTTTCTCTTAGATGTAATGGTCCAAACTTAGCCTAGAAGACATTTATTGCATCCTGTAGGGAAATACACAGAACAGGCTCAGATCCAGGATTTTCCAGCATGCTTTTCCTCCATTCTGGCTTTCACCTAATGTATTTATTTAGAATGCAGGTAAGATTTAACTAGATTTGTTAACAAAGCAGACTGATACTGAGAATTTCTCTGCAGCACTGATTGCAACCTCTGTGTACATGTTAGAGATACTACCACAGTTATAGCTAAACACATAGATGTAGGCTACGCATAGCAAACAAAACACGTAAAGTTGTAAGCATTAGAATTGTAGTGATGACTGTAGCGGAAGCAATTGTAGTATTTATTTGATATTCTGTATAAATATAAAATATTACCTTGCTTGATCTTTATTGTAAATATCAGAAGATTATAGAAGTTTTGCTTTATTAGGTAATTATACACAGGGGCGCTGTAAAGCGGTGAAAGATTAGGAAGATTCTAAGGGCCCACAGCTGTCAGGGGCCCAAAAATGTTTCAAAGTTGAATAAAAAAATATTAAGTTTAAAAATCACAAGTACTTAACTTTGCAGTATTTTTTCTCATTTAAGACATTAAACAAACAATATTTTAGTCTTCATGAAATGTATATTTATTCAGAGGTCCCTACTTTATTTTGACTAATTAATTTGATTTTCACAAATCAGAGAAATGTTTCACAAATCCCAAGCAAGGTTGTATGAAACTGCTATTATTGTAGAATAATCTAGAACAGGTTTGAACAGTGTGGGTGTTGTAGTTTTTGAGCTAGAGCAGATTAAAGATGGTCAGAGTAGAGGAAAATTGGGTGTAATGGCCCTTTAGCCGTTTCCTGAATACTCCAGCCTTGTTGCAGCAGGCTGCTGTAAGACTATAATGGGCTCACTTCTGGCTGGCTGCTGTTATTCCAATCCGTCCTTCTGTGACTGCGTTGATGTTGACGGCGTTGGCGCCACAGCAGGGGCCTGGCCTCTGGCTCTGCTGACTCGAGCAGGTTCACAGCTGTCGGACGGCTCCCCGAATAGCCCGACAGAAACTTCTGACGTTGATACTTGATTTTTTGGGTTAGGGTTAGGTTTGTGTCATGTAAAACACCGTAGAATTATCCTACGGGTAGGACATTTTGCCAATGTAGGATGTTTTGTCAGAACACCGGCTTTTTGAAGGCACCATACAAGAAAAAAAAAACCTCTTCATCTACTAAATACCTTGAAATGAAATGTTTTGAATCTGACTGAATTATGGGAGGTTTTACAAGATGTAATTTGTTTATGTAGCTTTTAGAACACAAACCAAAAATCAGTCATTTCCAAATAATTCATCAGAGAGCAAAAATGAAAAAAAAGCTATTGATAATTGTAATAAATAAACTTAATATAACATTGAACACAATAAAATATGATATCTAGTATTGATCGTTATCGAGCATCGTTAATTATATCACTGTAAATAATAAATCTTGCTGTGTACAATCAAGGCTGAATATATTTTAAGCTGTTTTTTTGTTGTTGAGAAAAATGGGTTAAACTTATATACGTATTCATGCAAAGTTGTCCAACTTTAAAATTTTATGTAACCCTAACTGACTCCGGTTTGAACTGTGTGCTTATGCATTTTGTGTAAATGATGAAGCCGTGGAGACTTAATAAAGAAGTCACCTTGTCAGCAGTGAATCCTTAATTTTTGTCAGTCATACAGAAATACTTGATTTCAAGAGGAAAGACAGCTGAAAATGTAGTTATGTAAAGCTTTGACACAACATGGAAATTTAATTAGATATCCAAATTTGAATTTTATCATCAAATAAAATTTTAGAATAAAAACACAAATTTTAAGGGAGTAATAGGGAAAAGGAGATTAACACCTTTCAGCATGTGCATTTCCTGCTTTTTCCAGCAGTGATATTGCTAATTATGTTGAAGGAAATTCACTGTTTAATGAGAGCCAGCTGGTGAAAATGATATGTAAATAAGTAAGAATGCATGTAGACCTACGTAATTAAGCAAAGCTGAAACACTAATATAAAGTATATATATATATATATATATATATATTTATATATATATATTTTTTTTTTTCTCCCTTTGAATCTGGGAGGGTGGAACCCCAGCTCCAGCTACGGACGAGCCCCCAGGGGGCCCAACTTGATATTTTTTCTTGGGGCCCAAAATCTCTGGCAGCCCCCCTGATTATACACACCGTTTTTATTCAGAAAAGAGTCAGGTTTATAAAGTAAGAATTTATTTTATAACCATTAAAACACGACAAGTGAACTAAGCATTTACTGTGAGTGGATGAAGCTAAATGTGATGTAGGAACCTATGTGTGAATGCGGTGTTGGTCAGAACTTCCTTATCTCGGAAAGCGACATCTCCTGATGAAAAAGAATTTGGATTGCTTAAGCTATGAAGCTGTTATCGTCAGAAGCACATCAGATGTTGTTGTAGTCTTAACTTAACCATACTTGTAATTGTGTGGATGCAGGTGTGGGACCTTGTCGTCAAAACATGGTGAACACATTGCAGGTTCTATTAGACAATATGATATAACATCCATTCAGTGTGCACAGATTAATGAAGCATTTCATTATACTATAATTATTATAAGTAGCAATAAACAAATGTTTATTTAATGATTATCTAGATTATAAGTCATCGAAGAAGTTCATATTGATTCATTAAATCATTAGCAACTGATTCGAGCTGGAGTTGGAGTCGTCTGTGGAGGCAGACAGACGGGACCTTGTGGAAAGAAAGTTATTGTTTATCTTTCAGACTAGCAGAGTCTGTGAATCCCAGCTGGTATGAAGCAGACTCATTTAAAGGGAACACAAGCAATGTCGTGTCTCCTTTCTGACCAGATGATAAATAGATGGTGAAAGGTCAAACAGTGCCAAAACTGGCCATTGCTGGACGCTACATGGCATATCAAAAACATGGGGAGAAATGTAGTACTTTATTTGTGACTAGAATTTCAGTGTTATGACTTGTAGGAGGTGTCTAACCCAAGACATGCAGAATCAACACGACGACCAGCGTGAGTAAAATAAAAAACAATTTATTATCAAACGGGAACTAAGGGGGCACTGGGAAGTCCAGTGAGTGGATCGCCGACAGGTGTAGGTCCAGAGCCAGAGTCCAGAGAACCAAGGGGAAGGTAGCGAGCCAAGGTGACTGTGGGGTGTAGCGCCATGTTTCGTTCTTACAGGGTATTTGAATCGAATCGGTCTGTAATAAACAATATCATTTTTAAATTGAATCATAAGCTGTGAGTCTAGATTCATATCAAATCATTTATCACAGAGATGTGCAACCCTAATCCTTTATTTTAGTGAACTTTCATTCCACCCACCTCCTCCTTTCGTGTTTATCTCTGTGTCTGTTGGGGTTTAAAACAACTGAAACCATTTCTACTAAAGTTTTCGTGCCAGGCGTGGTGTTATGGCTAACCACACTGCTCTATCGCTGAGTAAACTGTACTGCTGTCATTTTTATGATAAATTGTGAATTGTATTTAAATCATTATAAAACATTTATTTCTAGGGTCAAAGGTCAGCTTAACAAAGCGTGTTCCGACATTAGGATGTAGAAGTCCATCTGATCAAAGACCAACACTCTGAATTTGGGGATGATTTTATTTTTGCTTCTAAACCTCCAGAACAAAAACCAATTGTGTCACTACAGCAAACCTCACAGGAAGTGACATATGTACAGCAAACCTCACAGGAAGTGACATATGTATAGCAAGGATCGGACATTCCGGCCGCAGCAAAGCCTAACAAACAAAAAAACTAATGTTCACAGGAAGGAGCTTGTCCTGAATAAATTAAGGTCTAAAAGCAAAGTGCAGCTGTATGGCTTCTTCTGCAGATCCAACTTTATTTACAGCAGATGAAGAGATGGAGGACAAAGCTGATAATATGTCGTTTCCATGGAAACGTACCTCAAGAGTTCTTAATTACTCCAGTCTGATTAAATGGAACAGGTTCTGACCCAGAACCTGAAGAGTTCATGTTCTGCCACAGAGCTGCTGTTTCAGGGGGCGGAGCTTCTCTGTCAGGTCGAAGGTTAAAACGACGGGGTCCACTCCGAACCTCACAGGGGTTAGGACCAGAACCAACAGTGAGCTCACGAAGCCAGTGAAACATTACAGGTTCTGATGAAGATGAGGAACGGGTCAGTCACAGCTCTTTAGCTGCAGACACGAGCAGAACCACAGTCGGACCTGAACATGAGGTAGAGCAAGACGGGTGGAGTTAATGGGTCAGAGCCGCCTGCTGCAGCTGGACTTCATAACACATCCTTCTGAGTTTGGCCCTCGGTTCTGTTGGTACCTTTGGGTCTGGGTCTCTGTACTTGGTGCTGGGGGACCGGGTCAGAAACAATCCCTCAGAACCAGCAGAACATGTTATCCTAACCTGAACCCGCTGTTGTCTGCAGATGCTCAGAACTCTCTGCTGTGCCCTGGGGCCGACTGAAGGCCTAACACACCTGGTTCAGCAGGTGGTTCCATCCCGTGTGTCGGAGCAGGAACACAGCTGGAAGGAGGGTTTAGGTGTGAGTTGGGTTGGACCTGCAGGGTTCTCTTACTTCAGCACCAGAGCAGAGCTTTCGCCAGATAGTTTCCACAATTTTCTGACATTTCATGAGAAACAAAAATGAAAACCTGAGGACAGATTTCTGAATGTTCAACTCTGGCGCCCCCACGTGGCTGGAGGAGGAAACAGCACCTTCTTAAACCACAGCATCAGACCCTGATCGTTGCAGCTGCTGGTTTCCATGTACACACACACACACACACACACACACACATGAACACATGAACACACACACACACACCCACACACGCGCACACAAACACACACACACGCGCACACGAACACACACCCACACCCACACACACATACACCCACCCACCCACACACACGAACACACACCCACACCCACACACACAGATGTAACTACAGAAGCTCACTTGGGACCAAAAACCTAACACATTATTTATCCAACATTTAGGTTGAGTCTGGTTATTTACTCGCTAACATTTCCCTGGACTCCGGGGTTAGGGTTGGGGGTGGGGGGTGGGGGGATGTGGAGGTATCGGTGGTTTAGTCCCGAGATTTCATACCTCCACATATAAAGTGCCTTCCCTTTCGTCTCTTAGCTCCGTCACTATGGCAACACTCCCACACACCTGTGGTCGCCATGGGGACAGGCAGGTAGAAGCAGAATGGTGGCGGTGCAGAAAGTCAGTCTGAGTGGATGAAAATAAAAAATCCTATGATATGTACGGACCACTGCAGGTGACCATTTCCTGTCCACCTTTTCACAATAAAGTGCTTCCATTCACAGCACCTGAACTAACAGGAAATAAAGCTCTCATTGTGAAGGCTGGTAGCTGAGACCGCTTTCTGGAGGAGTCGTCCGTCTGAAGAGCGTCTCCTTTCCTGATGATTCCAAATGTCTCACTGGCGTAAAAGTTTCTTAGCTAATCAGAATTAGCGTTACGCCTCCTCCTGCTTGCTGCTCTGCTTCTGAAGCTCTGCCCTCTGGTTGTTTCCACCGCTGTTCTTCCTGCTGCCGCTCTTTGTTCCCGAGGTCGATGAGGATGTGACCTTTAGGCTCTTGGATGTTTTGGTCCCACGGGCCTTCTCCTTATCCTGAGCTAGCGAAGGGCTGGAGTGTGCCCTCTGCAGGCCGCTGTCGCTAAAAAGCCGAGACTCGAAGGCCGAAAGATCCTCATCTCCGTTTGCCATCTTAGCCCGCAGCAGCATGGCGTACGTACCATAGCGCGTTTTCTAGAAGAAAGGAGACGGGAGGAGGTTAGCCAGATCTCCTGAGCTGATGAACTAGAGGAACCTTCTGACAGACCATCAAACAGCAGAAAAGTCCTGAATAAAAATAAAACGGGAGTGAGTCTAAGAGCTGATCTGAGGACAGAAACCGGCAGCAAACAGCAGCCGGAGCTGAGCAGATCTCCGTGTTCTTGACACATCATGATGAAGAGGAGACAGAAGGAGCTGCAGACCTCACAGACACTTCACACAGCAGGTGACAAGAAGTCATGTGACCAAACACACGGGCCGAATGCAGCTGACAGCAGAAAGCCTTCAGTCTGCTGTTCTGGGCTCCACATTTGTGTGACTCAGCCATTATTTATGATGTTATCAGTGAGACTGTGTCTGAGCGGCGCTCACTTCACCCTGCAGCAGCAGGTCGTTTCCATGGATTCATGCTGTTGGAGCTGAGCGACCATCTGCACGACACCAGCGCTGCACATGTCCATCAGCCCAGAGCTCACAGAGCAGCTCTTCAGTCGGGACAAAACAGCCACATTTTTATTTATTCATCTGTACTAGAGTACAGTGTTGTTTTCGTTAACGGAAACAAGATGCTGACGAGCTAAAAATAGCTCTTTGGTGATTAAAACATGACAAGATTGACGGGAGTTTTTGTTAAAGAGCCGAGAGTAGACGTAAACTACTCTCAAAATGCTAATATGTCCGTCTCTCAGAAGGTAAAGCAACAGCTGCTGACTGCCCTTCACTCAGACCAGCCCAGCAGCTGAGTGAAGCTGGCTCCCACCCATATCAGACAGCTCTAACCACTCTAGAAATGGAAGTCTGATGAGGGTTGGAAGCCAACTTCAGTCAACTAAATCTAAAGCTAAAACTAAAACTAAGACTAAGACTAAAACTAAGGCTAAAACTAAGACTAAGACTAAACTAAAACTAAGGCAAAGACTAAGGCTAAGATTAAGGCTAAAACTAAGGCTAAGACTAAAACTAAGGCAAAGACCAAGGCTAAGATTAAGGCTAAAACTAAGACTAAGGTTAAAAATAAAACTAAGACTAAGGCTAAAACTAAAACTAAGGCAAAGACTAAGGCTAAAACTAAAACTAAGGCTAAAACTAAGACTAAGGCTAAAACTAAAACTAAGGCTAAAACTAAGACTAAGGCTAAGACTAAAACTAAAACCAAGGCAAAGACTAAGGCTAAGATTAAGGCTAAAACTAAGACTAAGGCTAAAACTAAAGCCAAAACTAAGGCTAAGACTAAGGCTAAGATTTAGGCTAAAACTAAGACTAAGGCTAAAACTAAGGCTAAAACTAAAACTAAGGCTAAGACTAAAACTAAGGCAAAGACTAAGGCTAAGATTTAGGCTAAAACTAAGGCTAAAACAAAGACTAAGGCTAAGACTAAGGCTAAGATTAAGGCTAAAACTAAGACTAAGGCTAAAACTAAAACTAAGGCTAAGACTAAGGCTAAAACTAAGACTAAGGCTAAAACTAAGGCTAAAACTAAAACTAAGGCAAAGGAGAGGGTGCTCGCTGCAGAACTACAAAGGCGGAGCTGCACCATAAGGTGGAGCTGCACCAGAGTCAGCCCCGCCCATTCACACAAACTCAGCCTAGCCCACTGACTTCTTCTGTTTTTGTTTTTCAACTTTATCGCAAACTAACATGACCCACATGAATTACGGCTGTTACTAGTTTACAATTGTTAATGCTATGTTCTATGCTCCAATTAAGCAAGATAAATATAACTTGCTACATGAGAAAGCCTGAATATATCCCGAAATGAAAAGATTTCTTTTAGCAAATATTTGCCCACAACTGCTTCTACAAAATCAATAAGAATGTTGATGGTTCTGGTAGTCCAGTGGCAAGATCGCTTGACTTAAGTTTTGCTTTCCCCTCTGCTGATGCTGGTTCGATTCTCGGTGGGGTGGGCAGAAATCTATTTAGCCAGCTGAAACATTTAATTTGTTTATAATTTAGTTGTAATGTTTATTTTCTGCAAAATATTTATGTCTCTAAAAGTTCTTTGAATTTGGTCGTTCCTAAACAGCATTTTGGTAGAAACTCTGCTCACAAATGGACTCACACTGGCTAAATAAACTAATAAATTAATAAAAAAAAAACACATTAGTGATTATATTTTAAACGGTATACCAATAAATTGTTGTAAACATAGTACTGGCAAGTGTAGCTAGAAAATAAGAAAAAGGGTTTTTAATTACCTCATGTTTCCGCTACTAGGAGGCGAACCTGCGCAAAACTGCATGTTAGGCTAACTGCATAACCACTTCTCCACTACATCTGATAAAAAGCAGGTGGCGTTACATGTAATTCTGCCATCCAGCGTGTCTTTGTAGATGGGGATGTATGGTTTTTCCGCCAGTGTCTCAGTAGAAGCCATTTCAGAAATAATTTGTCAGAAAATTCACAGAATATCCAGATTTGAGAACCAAGACCAGACCCACTTCGGGGGAGAGGACCAAATTGAAGCTGAGATGGGAGGAAAATGCATGAATGAGGCCAAAAATGGCTTTGGCGTGTTTCTTATGAGGAAATGACAATATAACATGGTAAAAAGTTCCAAAAGTTACATTTTAATTATATGGAACCTTTACAAAAACTGTTCAATTCACTTCTCAACTCCGTCGTCAATCTTGCATTTTAGATGATATTAGCTATAACACCCTCTTTGGTTCCAGAATGCTATCAAGTCTGACAACTGGAAGGAATTGGACTGACTCTGATGGAATGGGCGGGGCTGACTCAGGGCTGACTCTGGTGCAGCTCCACCTTTTGGTGCAACTCCGCCTTTGTGGTTCTGCAGCGAGCACCACTTGGGGCAAAGCCTAAGGCTAAGATTAAGGCTAAGACTAAGGCTAAGGCTAAAACTAAAACTAAGGCTGAAACTAAAACTAAGACTAAGGCTACAACTAAAACTAAGACTAAAGCTAAAACTAAAACTAAGGCAAAGACTAAGACTAAGGCTAAGACTAAAACTAAGACTAAGGCTAAAACTAAGGCTAAGGCTAAAACCTACTAAAACTAAGGCTAAGACTGAGGCTAAAACTAAGGCTAAGGCTAAAACCTACTAAAACTAGGGCTAAGACCAGGGCAAAGACTAAGGCTAAAACTAAAACTAAGACTAAAGCTAAGACTAAGGCTAAGGCTAAAACTAAGGCTAAGACTAAGGCGAAGACTAAAACTTAGACTAAGGCTAAGGCTAAAACTAAAACTAAGGCCAAGGCTAAAACCTACTAAAACTAAGGCTAAAGCCTAATTTATGCTTCTCCGTCTGCGTCAGTGCGGAGACACGCAACGCCATTATCCGTCCTTGCATAGGGCTCCGGCAGGCATGCAAGTACGTACGGAGTCGAGCCCACTTTTTTAAACATCCGTCGAACGAAACGGATTACTCAAGCTTGTGATTGGTCAGGACGCCACTGTTGTTTACAGCGCCGCCATTGCAAAGAGAGCCGAGGATAACTAGCGGCAGACACGGAAAAGCTTGAAGAATACCTCGCAAAAAAACTCTAAAAATATGAACGTTTAATCCTCCCGTGACTGGAGGAGTGAAAAGATGCGCAGCAAGCGTTTTATTTGTGGACGGAAATGACAGGAAACGTGGGTTTAGAGGTGGGGAGCGCATGAAGCGGTGGGAGAATGAGAGACAAATATGTCCGTGCTAAAAGTCTCTTGTATACACAAAAAACACAATATAAACACACGATCTTGGACCGATACATGACAGGATACCACAGAACAGCGCTACGCCCTCTGTTGTCCTGCCGGGCAATTGCTTTGCAACGCTCTCCAGGAGACGGAGAAGTAAAAGAGCAAAACGCTTCCCTCAATCTGTGCGTGTCTGTCCCTTGCGGAGCTGACGGAGAAGCATAAACCAAGGCTTAAGGCTAAGGCTAAAGCTAAAACCTACTAAAACTTAGACTAAGGCTAAGGCTAAAACTAAGGCTAAGGCTAAAACCTACTAAAACTTAGACTAAGGCTAAGGCTAAAACTAAGGCTAAGGCTAAAACCTACTAAAACTTAGACTAAGGCTAAGGCTAAAACTAAAACTAAAACTAAGGCTAAAACTAAAACTAAGGCTAAAACTAAAACTAAGACTAAGGCTAAAATTAAAACTAAGGCTAAGGCTAAGACTAAGGCTAAAATTAAAACTAAGGCTAAAACTAAGGCTAAGGCTAAGACTAAAACTAAGGTTAAGGCTAAAACTAAGGTTAAGGCTAAAACTAAGGCTAAGGCTAAGCTTAAACCTAAGACTAAAACTAAGACGCTGGCCAAAACCAACGTTCGTTGAGTGTGTGGATTATTTATGAAGTTGGATCAACCCAATTGTATCTTTGAATCTGTCCAATGTAAGGACCTGGGTGCTGCTTCTTCTGAGGTGGAGAACAAGCTGATCCTGGGACTCACCTCAAACTCCAAGTACTCCTTCCTGAACTTCTGCTCCTCCAGCTCACGACCCTTGACCTTTCGGTCGGGCGTGGAAGCCGTGAGTTCCACCAGCTCAGAGGAAACCGCCCTGAACCGGTTCTCATGAGATTTGAGCTGCTCCTCCTATCAACAATGAAATCCATGAAGCTCGGGGTGCAAAACGATGGAACCCTGCAGAAGGTTTGTGTTTGTACCTGAGACAGTTTGGTATTGGATCCTGGCAGCAGAGGACGGCTGAAACGTTTCTGGGAACCAATCGCTGCAGGGAATGGGGGGGCTGAAAACATGGCTGCCACCACGTTGATCCGTGTGATCCATGACTGCATCTGCTCGGTGTTCCTGCAGAAACACAGAAGCTGCTGTTCAGAGATGAAGACCGGCCAGCTTCAGCCCTACATTCATAGCTGGTTCTGGACCACCTAACCTTCAGGAGAAGGCTGCAGAGGACCCAACTGATACAAGTTAGTGGAAACCCTTAAACTAAAGGCAGAATGAACTGAACTCAATGCACTGATGAGTCGGATCAACTGGAACGTTTCCTCTGAAAAGCCTTCAGACGCCTCTTTATGGAGAAACCCAAGTGAACAAAGACAGGAGGCTTCTTACGGAGCTTGGAACAGGAAGACCCTCCAGTCAGCCGTTCGCAGGTAGAAGACGTTGGGTCTCTTGCTGTAGTCTGCTGCTCTCATGGCCAGAGAGTGATGGATGGACACGGCGTTCCTCACGTCCTCCTCCTTCAGCTCTCGCTCCGAACGGTACTCGTCCTGCAGACGGAGACAAAGACAGTGCAGGGACCCATACGTGCAGTGGTCTCTGGTATAAAGGTATGCCCTGAGAGTTGATCTCCAAAAGGAGAGCATCTGTCCACATGAACATCCAGGAGCTTTTGGCTGAACGGCTTTCCATGGCGAGTCATGTCTGCCTCAGTGATCTCTGGGAATGTAGGGTCAGGTTCTACAGAGCCGAGCAGGTTCTGGTAGCTCTCTGCATGTTCGCTAGCTAGGATGGATCTCCCTTTCCTTCGCGTAGCTCGGCCTTCTGCTTGGCCGTCTTTGTAAATAAGAACTGTGTTCTGGTTAAACGAAGGTCCAATTAAACAAACGATCCAGTTGGTTGCAACCTTCAGTTTGACCACTAGATGTCAGTACAAATTATTACTGACAAGAAATCTGAAAGTTCCAGTAATCCTGCAGGCGGTCTGTAGGACTGTTGATCCAAACCAGATGAAGTCTGGATCGGGGAGTTTAGGTACTGATGAAACAGCAAGGCAGGTGCTGCACAGACGAGGTAAATCCACGACAGAGAAAACAGGTATAAAAACTACAAAAGTAAAAAAAAGGGAATCGATACACACTAGAGAATATTCATAAAATACAAAAAAATTTAAGTTTAAAGCCCAGAGGAAGAAGATAAACATTGTCAGCTGTCTCACCTTCTGCAGGTAGAGCACCAGACCCTTTAGCATGGCGTAGAACGACTTCCAGCCTCTTTTGCCTCTCGGTGCTACAACAAACAAAGCATCATGGGAAATCAGACATCAGGACACAAACTGTGGATGTCCTGTACAGCAACACTAAGGAGGTTAGGGTTAGTTAGTTGGGCTGCTGCTCACACTAGTGGAAGGTCTCTACTGCTTTACAGCAGTAGCTGTGCCATTGTCTAATATAAAGGCTAGCAGTTAGCCTTATCAGTTTGCAGAAAGTCAGAGGTATTTAGCTTTTTCTGTTGGCATCAGAGCCTGGAAGCTAAAACCAGAGTGAACGTCAGCGCAGCCTACGCTAGTCTGAGGGAGCTGAAGGAGGCTACAAAATCAAAGACTAATGGTGACCTGGCTTTGTTGCTACGGGACTTGTAAGTAATAATATTTGGGTCCAACAGTGTGAATCTTTATACTTGGTGGTTTATCTTGTATCTGCTGCCCGTGCTAGCGTTGTTAGCGCTAGCTACAGCAGGCTGTGGCAGGGTTGTAAACCACTTCCAACCAGTAGGAGGGAGAAGTGGGAAACGTGGGTTTAAAACCATAATAATGAACCTCATGAGGGTTTGTCATCCTAAGGATGCATGATTTAGTTTGTATTTTTTACTATCATCAGTGCCTTGTTCCTCCTGCTGACACCAGAAGTTTAAAACTCAAGAAGAAGACCGTTGCTCATGCGACACATACTTCTCTTCCCATCAGGATCGGCGTGGACTTTGCGAACCAAAAAGCCGCTTTTGTAAAGCTCGCCGTCGGCCTGCTGAGCCATGCCCACCAGTGGGTTGCCACTGCTCCCAAGCCTCTTCATGGTGTGGGAGGCGGAGTCTGTTCGGACTTCGGCCAGCTCTGACATGGACTTCCTCAACTCCTCTTCATCACTTCCAGAGAAACAACAGATTAATAACAAGCCTGCATGAAGATGCTCCATGTTCAGATGGTTTTTATTTTGGTTAGATCAGTTTTTATCAGAATGTCTAATGATCTAAATGAGCATGAAGGTGTGTGTGCTCATCGGCCATTTTGGCATCACGCAGTTTCTGGTTGCTGTTGTTTATCAGAATAAATAACAGATTCCCATCCAATCAGCTTCCAACCCCAAAAATCGTAACAGTCTGTAAACATCCTGGCCCTGCCCACTTGTGGAGGTTCCATCAGTGTTTGTTTCTAACTGTAACCATGACAACTAAAATGCATAAACCTGTACAAAAGCACTGCTTTCAACCAAAACCCTGACTCAGATGTCTCAATGTCACTCTAAACTCCGTCTGGTTGCTGGTTCGTTCAGACTCTAGCTCCTATCGCTGAAGAAAAGCAGGATGTTTGAGCTCCACCAACATTAAAACATCCAGACAGCAGCTGCACACACATCATGCATGGGCGTTGAGAAGCTGACCTGTAATTACTGTGAGAAGTGGTTACCACGGTAACACAAGCTTAAATAAGGGAGACACACTCTTCATGCGCTGACATGCATGTTCACACTTACATGGTCCACTGCAGCTTCTCGTTCTTGATGGAGCTGTACAGAGTCTGCAGAGAGATAACACACACACACACACACACACACACACACACACACACACACACACACATGGTTAGGTGAAGGATATGCTGCTGGGTATGAATCAGACTGGCACAGTCTACAGAAACTTTAAAGAGCAAGTCACCCCCTACCAGAGCATTACTCCACTCCCACTTCCTGTTTGAAAAATGCAACAAATGCTGTTGCCTGACAGATCACGAGGGCGGAGTCGTCAAAAAAACACAAACAGGCTCACAGCCACATTGTGGCATCATAGTGTATCAGCTGACATCATAGGGTACCTCTTAGCCAATAGCAATGGCAGATTTAAATTCTAATGCAGTGAAGAGTTTTACCTGAAGAGGACGCAACACTGACAGTTTTAGACAGAATTTTAATTAAGATGCACTAAAGATACACTAAATCTTCTTCCGGCTCTTGGAGAGTACAGACGCTTTTTTTTCCTCCTCTCCCTCCCTCCTCGTCCCAAGGCTCTTTGTCCTGTCTTTGCGTACATGGCGCTTCTGCATTTTTTCTGGAAACTGGAAATTATTAAAAATGGATCTGGTCAGTTGGTCTCTCAACGCGATTGGCAAAATTTTTTCAACGATGAGAACAGGAGACAGATCCAGCTGGGTATATCATGGATTCCTGGAAAAAGTAGAACCTGATATGCCTCTCTCAACTGTCTGTAGAGGATTCTGAAGATGTTTGGATATTTGTCGTCTTGGTGTCAGGATCCCTACTGTTTGGCCTGAGCGGTTACCTGGCTTAACGGAAAATTAACGAGCTTTCGAGGAATATTGGCTCAATCCCGGAGCTCAGGGATGGAATGCATCGTGCTGTGAACGCACAAACTCATATAATTGTCGAGATGAGTCGTAAGCTTGGAACTTTGGCTGAGATTCAGGCTCTGGCACAGAAGGTGGATTCCATCAAGGAGCGAGTTGACAGATCAGCACGGATTGGGATAGATTAATTACGCCATTATTGGATCTAGAGAGGTTGAAGACCAACAGAACTCTAAGGCAGAGAGGAAATTATCTCGGTCTGTCCCCAAACAAGTTCTTATCTGAATCTGGTGCCCTTGGAGCCTGTGAGGCTGAAGTGTAAACTCCCCTCAGAAGAAATGTGGAATGCTGCCGTCGCTATGGAAACTCTTTCTCCCTATCCCAGCCTGGGCGGGACTGCGACCGGTGAAGGCCGTGGAACCGTATCTAGAAGTCAATGTGCCCTCTAACCCATTATCTCCCTCCCCTGTCCAGACGGAGGTGATGAGCGCTGCTCCATGCGGCTGCACGCACAGAAGTGAGGAGAGTCCCAACCCTACCTCCCCACCTAGTGGACACTTATGTTGTGTAATGTCTGAAGTCGGTGTGCATATCTGTCTGAGGTGTGTTTTTGCATAGCAAAGCTGCCCTCTCTGTTGAGGGTAACTCTGAAGGGCCTTTTTTCCCTCCTCCTCACTCTATCCTCATATAAACCCTCTTGATCTATAACGGTAGCACGACTCGGGTTGTGAATGACCACAGTCACCAATTCTTGTCATGTGTCTATGTATGTATGTCTGATCTCAGAATTGTGTGTACTGAAACTCTAATTTCCCTCTGGGATTAATAAAGTATCTTTGATTTGATTTGATTGATAAAGTACCAAACTATTGACTACACGTGTCTACAGCACCGTTAGACACTCTTATTTTGTTTAGCAGCAAAAAGAGTTGATTTGGGGTGACTTGCTCTTTAAATGGGAAGCATCCCTTTACAAAACTTTTATTTTGAAACACAAACAGGAAGCGCTTCCATCATAAAAAACAATTGTGTGACATGAGATTGTCCCCAGGTCCTCATCAGACTTAGACTGGATAAAAGTCCAAGTAGGACCACCGCCCCACCCCCAGTGACCTTGGGGGCAAACACTGCTGTTCCACCCTCGGCCGTTGGGGGCTGGCTCCAGAAAACAGCAAGTTCCAATGTAAAAACAGCCGACCTCAGCAGAAATTAACATGTATACAGGCTGGTTCAAAACCATTCTAGGTTTAATAGATCTAGTTTACAGTCAGGACAACTCTGAGGGGGTGAATGTTTTGTACCTCTTCTGTTTAGATGTAATTATGAATAATTAGGGACGTTTCCTTTTGACTGACAGGTAGCAGATGAGCCGTCAGTGCCAGCGTTAGCAGCTACCATCCTGCTCGCTCCAGGGAAGGCCTCAGCCTCGCTTCATGTTAAGGGTTGCAGGCTAGAAGGCAGAGGGTGGCAGAGCGGCTCAACCTCCTCATTTCTGTATTTTATGGGAGTGATAAAACGACGGTGGTGGTGGGTACTGTCCACTGGACCTCGACTCAGCTCTTCAGAAACCCTCAAATTTAAAAGGCTTAAACTTGTCTCCATAAAAAACCACAGATGGCTGAGGTTTACAGAGATTTCAAGTCTGCTCTGGGTTTATTGTACGCTCTAAGGTCTGATGTTTAATGGAAAGTGCGGTCTGGGGCCGATGGCGACCCTGGAACAGCAGGTCTGAGGGCTCCGGTTGCTTTTCTACTGAAGATTGTTGATGGAGTGATACTTTGTGAAATTTTTATGTTCAGATTTTTGATAAAACACCTATGTTGGACGTACTTTGAGGTATATGAAATGTATTTTCGCATAAAACCCCCGCTGTGGCCCGTGAGGACTACCAACGTAACCATATTGTCTCTTGTTCAGAAACTTTTGGACACCACTGATGTAAAGGTTCTGACACAGGGAGCTAAACAAAAGTCCATATTGCTTTCAGGTTCTACCTTCTTCTTCCGGTTCTGCAGGTGGTGCTGCCCATCCTGACTTTTGCCCAAAAGGTCCGGAAAGGCCAGCGGCTTCAGGGAGCGGGACCTGGGAGCTCTGGGGTACCTGAAGGCGTCCGAACCCCTGGTGTCCCGCCCACTTCGGACCGAACACAGGGACCGCGAGCGCACGCGTCCTGACGAGTGTATGCTGTTCACACCGATCATTGTGGTCAGTCAGAACCACTAAGGTCAAAGGTCAGCAAACAACGTGACTGGAGCTGCAGCTTTAACAGGTGGATCAGAACCAGCTGGTTCTGGCCTGGCTGATGGACTCCTGCGAAGAGTCGGAGCGGATGCCTTTGGGTCTCGTCCAGACAGACCCAGAATATTCTGAACTTCAAAAGTCTCAGTAGATGTTCAGATGGATGTGTCTGCTGGTTTCTGGTTCGACAACATCCTGGGATTTAAACCCTCTGCAGTAAAAACGGGATTTTAAAAACAAACATCCATTGTGAGTGCTCTCCTTCTTCTCTGCTGAAATGACAAACTACAAACTGTAACAATAAAGCATTTATAGTCTAACTAGTTCAGCTTTAAACAATCCTTAAATGTAAAGATTTTATTGCTTAATTCTTTTCTGACGGATTCAAAGTGTCATCAGACTCTGTGAAGAAGCTTTAAAGGTTTTATCCGTTTGCTGTTGTGCCAATCTGTAGAGTCGACCTTCTCCTCCTCTTCACGTCTCGTTAAACTCCAAAGCATCCCGGTGGAGAATTGCAGTCGATCTCTCTCACCATCCTCGCTCTTCTTCTGATCGAGCAGACAAAAATCACCCTAAAACATGAAGTGGAGCTGCTGCTCCTGACGCAGCGACCAGGAGAATCCCTGCACTGCAAATAAATCTGCGTGACGAAGGAGACGCAGCTCCCTCTCACATCCAGAAAAGAAAAGCGGGGAAGGGTGGGATCACACCCACACAAGCAGACAGGGAGGCAGAGGTGGAGAAAGGGAAAGTTTATCCTGTTGAATCCTAAAAACAGGACCTGTCCCTCCTCTTCCTCAGCTCCTGTCTGTTGTCATCTTCGTCCAGCAGGAGAATCCCCGTCTGGTCAGGTGAGCTCTTCCCCCTCCTCAGACTAACTGTTGAGGACTGTTGGCCCTCCCTCCCTCCTTCGTTGCTCATCTCTCGCAATGCGCATTTTCTCTGAGCTGCAGCAGCCAATCACTGTGCAGCAACAGGAGCCAGAGCCCGCCTCCTGCTCCTGCTGTCAGTCATGAACTGAGAGATGAAGAGCAGTGTGACCAGATGGATGGACACCGTCAGCGCCAACTCAGACGGGTCAAAATGAAAACTCATAACAAATGATTAGTTTTTATTTTGTTATTTGGCTAAACAGAAAAACGAGACCATGCGACTTTTCCATTCATTTTATTGTTTCAATACTTACATTTGAACAGTGAATAATGTTGGTTAGAATGCTTCATGTTTCTCTGGAACATCCATTTAATGTGTTTAATTACTTAAAATAAATAAATCCTTTAGAGGAATAATCTGATCATGTAGGTCTCCATGCCCCCCCCCCCCGCTCCTTTTACTAAAAAACACCCCCAGAGCATTTCTTTGGGCTCGTGCATGCGTCTTCTGTCTCAGCTGAACATCCCCTGCTGGCTTGCTAAGCTACTACAAATGGCTGGATGCACCGCTCCTCCCCATCCAGGTGGGGTTGAATCTGGATCCCTCTTCCCCAGGTCCTCATTCACCAAACGTTGATAGAAACCGTCCTAAATTCCTACCAACTGAGTTTAGAATGTTTGTACCAAAATCCTGATTTATGAACCACGCAGTGGCATCTCCTACACGTTCTTCTGCAGTCGACTGATGATGAATCCCACCTGTGCTCATGTCTGTTCAGTCATTTACATACAGACACGCCCTCAATTACCCATATTTGGTCACACCACATCCTCCCCAAAAACGAGATAAGCGAGATGGGGTCCCGAGCAGAAATAAAGAAAAATGGTTCCACGTAAAACTAACCCTAAACCTTCTGTTGTCATTTACAGTTTACATTTAAGGAGTTGAAAATGTTTGTTGCCTGGCAGTCAGCCAGGCTGGTTAGCTAGGCAATGTGTGTGTGATGGGGAGCAGAGAGGGAGGAGGTTCTGGGGGTTTTGTGAAGGCTTGTTTGGACACTGAGCTGTTTGTAAAATATTTTTATTAATAATGTTATAACACTGCTCAGTGATGGTTGTGAGATGCCCCGCCTGTCTGCTATCTCACGTTGGAAGGTCCAGCTGCCAGAAAATCCTTAAGTTCTCAACTATTTAACACAGACTGGGATCAGGACCCCTTCAGAAAGCTAGCCTGGCAAGCAATCCCATACAGAGACGAAACTGTTGTCACCCGAAGCAGAAACCCACAATGGTCACAGGAATAACGTGAGTCTGACAAAAGTCTATACTGATATCCGTCTGAAACAGTTTTTCTGTGGTGTCACGTGTACATGAGCAACAGGTTCTGTTTTGTTTTTGGTTTCCGTTACATAAGGAGATGTTCTTGGAGGTGGTTCTGTTTCTGTTGATAAACACTCAGGTGACAGATCTGCTGTCTGAAGAGCTGCAGAGCATCAGATCCCTTGACAACACGCGGTTCGGTGTGGATTCTGAAAGTTTTGACTTGTAATTTGTGGGTTTTCCAGTGTTGATGGTAATAAGCTGCTGTTATGTTGACGAATGAACCGAGAATAATTGAGGCTGACTACTATTACACATCAATATAAATAAACATGTTAAACACGTGTGAGGGTTTTTGTATGTGGCTGATCACAGCACCCCCTTAGGAAAATATGTTCCCACAGCAATGTATAGCAATGAGGAGCATTCCAGCCTCTCATCTTTGTACGTGGGAGGCTGACTGAATATTTTTGCTCCACTGTGTTTACGAGAGACAGTCGTACCTTCAGCAGATCTTTGGGAAAGTCGTTTCCATCGTTGAGTCCTTCAAGGTTGGAGATGAACTGACTGCAAGACATTCTCTTCCCCACATTCTACACAAAAAGAACACCATTAGACTCTGAAGCAGGTCTTCAGACTGAAGTGTGCTGTCAGACACGATCATCAGGTCTGCTGGGGTGTGTGTGTGCTCGATTTTACTGGTGCCATGGTAAAGATGTTTATGTTTATTCATTTGGCAGATGCTTTTATCCAAAGCGACTTACAATTTATAACCTATAGGGCATGTTGTGATGTCAAAGATGTCACATCACCAACATATCTGTATAAAACCTGAAGGTTTAAGGGACAATTTGCAATGTTTTCTTATTTTTAAATGATCTTCTTGAGCCAGTACGTTTTACAGGGTTAATGAAAGGCTCCCAGCTCCATCGCCGGTCCGGTCTGCTGGGAAATAGAGCTGAGGTACCTGGCGCTGCTGTCTGGCTCCAGCATGTTTTAGATCATGAACACATCTGATTTGGTTCATTTAGTGATGAATCCCTCCTGTAGACACTTAGGAACGCTGGGAGACGTTTCAGCTGGTAGATTCAGGTGTTAAAAGGATGAACCCACAGCGAGTAGACAGTTTCAGTTCTACACACGGACTCTAGCGGGTGCTAAAAGCAAGCTAAACTGCCCAGTATGGCTGTAACCCATTAGCATTCCAGCGTCCCGCTCAAAGTCCCATTGCATCATTTAAGGGGTTAAAGACATTATTCACAGATCTTCTGATCTCACCTGTGGTGAGCATTAGTGAGGTCACGTCTCACAAAAACTAAATATAAATAAATAAGAAGGACTTACGTTTCCATGGAGATCTGTGTTCAGCAACATGACAGCACATGTCAAAGTGTGGACACTATCTAAGGGACAGAGATGTGCAGGTGAGAAACAGGTGAGACCTAACCAGGTGAGAGACTAGTGAAACTGATACCTTCGGTGGACACGCCTTCAGGGTTACACTGTCTGTATCTCCTGGAGAAATGAGCGAGGACTCGTTCTCTCTCCTGGGTTTCTCCCATCAGAGCAAACTGAGTCAAAAACATCCTGGAAAACATCCGATTCAGTTTATTCAAACAAAACAAGTCAAATGTAGGGCTGTGCTGGTACGGACCGAATCCTAACGCAGGACTCGTAGCAGGCTGAGACAACTGTCAAAATAAAAGCTTTTCAAATATCTTCAATTCAATTCAATTCAATTTTATTTATATAGCGCCAAATCACGACAAGAGTCGTCTCAAGGCACTTCACATAATAAAAATTCCAATTCAGGTCAGTTCATTAAGCCAATCAGAAATAATTTTTCCTATATAAGGAACCCAGCAAATTGCATCAAGTCAGTAGCCACGTTTACATGCGCATATTTAATCGGATTGAATGCCCATTCAGATTGAAAATTCTGCATGTAAACATGTCAATCAGAATATTCTGATCCGATTCGGCCCGATCGGATTGAAATTTCAATCCGATTGAGAGAGGTGGTTTATTCCGTTCTTCATTCCGATTGACGTGCATGTGCACAGCCATTCGGATTGTTGGGGTAAAATAATGCCCACTGCGCATGTGTGCAACAGCCAGCGAGCCTCTCCGCTGTCATTTGGACTGCCTGACTTCAAAAATGACGGTGTAATTAACGAGCGGCGGCTTTTAAATCCGACGACAAGCCGTCCCGTTTCAGTAATATTTAATTCAGAACTTGCATTTTGTGGAAGTAAAATAAAAATCTGATTATTGCACAAATCATTCGACAAAGATGTTCAAATCTGTACTGGAAATACGCGGGTTTATCGTGGGGGTTGCAGCGCACGGATCCCCGTTTCTGTCAGCTTTGAACGCAGCAGCTTCTGCAGCAGGTGATGGAGACGCGCTTGTAAAGAACACAGGATAATCTGGGTTTTACAGACCTGATTGGAGGCTGATGTTGGGTAGGAAAACGTCCTCGGTTAAATACTCTGGACGACAGTAAAGTCCGTGTTCGTTAAAAGCACGTAAACGCAGATGACCTGAGATGCGGTTCGTTAATGATGAACACATGCTTCTAAACTTTCTGAACATCTTCTGTTATTTTGTTTGAACAGATTTTTCTCAACAGTTTCAGCTGATCGTCACATGTTATTAATAATAAGCCACAACAGAGCTCAGTAATAAAACATGAGGCTAACCCCCCACCCCCCCCACCCCCCACCCCCGCTCTGTGCCGCAGCGCAGCGCAACAGCTGTCAATTCAGACCTGCGGACCAGCTGATCAAGAGGCAGACATAACCCTCCCTTATTTTAATCAACAATAAAATGCAGCAAAGCATATATCTGCAGTTATTCACTGAAGAAAACGTAACTTCTATGAGCTAAATAAAAATATTAAATTGAATAAATGGATCAGGAAAGCAGGAAGAACTGTTATTTCTGTTTTTACATTTTTCTTTTCGTTTCATGGCGTTTGTTTACAATTTTTCTTTCGTGAAAGGCAACTCTGCGCATGCTCAACCTATTTAATCGGATTAAATGCTTGGTGCATATGTACGCACGGCATGATCGGATCATTTCAGTTCGTGTCCATGTGAACAGAGATTCGGAAATTCCGATCAACCAAGATTTCAATCGGATTGAGGAAATTTGCCACATGAAAACGCAGCTACTGACTAGTGTCAGTGACTATACAGCAATCCTCATACCAAGCAAGCATAAAGCGACAGTGGAGAGGAAAACTCCCTTTTAACAGGAAGAAACCTCCAGAGAATCCTGGCTCAGTATAAGCAGCCATCCTCCACGACTCACTGGGGATCGAGAAGACAGAGCTGGTAGACACACACACACACGCACGCACGCACGCACGCACACACACACACACACACACACACACACACATCTTCCAGGTAACAAGTTGAGAAAAAGTAGAAAGGTCCAGAAGAAACTCTGGTGGGGCCACTGGCATTGGTTAGGAGGCCGGACATGTGGGACACAACCTTATGGAGCCATAAACACACTAATTATTCCATTAGTTTGAAAGCAGAAAGCTCAGAACATCAGAGAGGTGAGGGGGAGGAGCAAAAACATAAAGTTATTAACCCTCCCACTGCAGGGGCGGAGCTATGGGTGGGCCTGGGTGGGCACAGAGTGGCCTACACTCGTTTGAGAGAGCAGAAGGGAAACTCATGGACCGATGGTGACCTGGACTTGTAACTAACATTAAGTTTTATCCAACAGAGTGGATTTTTAACTTTGAGGTTTATTCCAGTATTAGTTAGCTCATGTTAGCATTAGCTTGTTGTTAGCTTGTTAGAACAGCTGTACTTCTGCTTTCAACCAGTAGGGGAGAGCAGGAAATGTATCTACAACAAACACAGGTTTAATTTAAGGACCAGAACCGACCTGAGTGCCTGGTCGATGGTCAGGCCGCTGAAGTTAAAGTAGCAGAGATATTCTTGCGCCACCATCTGGCTGAACTCGTTACTGCAGACACGAGAAACAGAAGAAGGAATAAGAGATGTGAAATAAAACCAGAGCTCAGTAAGTTATTCGGGACATGTAAAGGTGATGATTGTCCTGGTTTTTTAAACATGAACACAAACTGGACCATCACTGTCCAAATAAACTAAAATAACAAAATGATCCTTCTCTTAGAAGATGAGCAGAAGGGAAGCTCAGCAGACACACTGACTTCTTGCCGAGGTGTCGAGCGACGTCAGACTTCCTGAACCCATCCAGGTTGTACAGACGTTTGGCGAGACGTTTGGCTGCCTGCAAGTCTGGCTTCATGCCATTGGTCAGCGCGTCGTGGATGCTGCCAAGTGCCAGACGCTCCGCCACATCAGCCTGCGGGTACAGCAGCTCAGGCGGGCGGTTCTCCGAACACTCCCTGAAACACACAACAGGAAGGTGAGTGGAAACTTTCAGATCCGTTTCAATGAAAACTCACCGCTTCCTACTGTCAGAGTTCCTTCTGAAACTCAAAGGTGAATGATTGTTAAAGCACAGGGTGAGAAATCAGGAACAGAAACACAGATCAGAGTAGTAAGTGAAGTTAGAGATCCAGAAACACCGGCCAATCTAAAGAACTCTGGTCTTCAGGTTCCTGACCCGTCTGCATCCTGCGCGCAACACACAGATGCATTTATCAGCATCGCCATGGAGACAGGACAAACAGACTGCAGGCAGCTAGTGCAACACCACATTTAACCGGTCGAGATGTTTTAATGGATTTTTCTGGAAACTGAAAGGTTGTTTCAACCTTTAAAATCAGTTTTAGTCCTGAAACAAAAACATTAAAGAAATCCAATCCTCCATGGCAACAGAGTCCGCTGACAGGGTCGGTCTCATGACCCTTCGATCCTTCAGACCTCAGGACAAACTGTTAGGATCACATGGTCTGAGACTCCAGATGAAAGGCTCAACGACGTTCCTGAACACTCCCACATACTGCCCGTTAGTAACAAGAAAACCTTCAGACTCCCAACATCGACCAGCCAGATGGTCCGGTCCCATAACACCGTCAACAGCTGCTGATCAGCAGACATGCTCACCATCTCCAGAACCGGTCTGGGTTTAATGCACCGATCTGAAACCAGCTCCGTCTCCATCACCACCGCTCTGTTCTCAAACTGACTTTCAGATTAAAACCCAGAGATTCAGCAGGAAGTGGAAGTGGTTCGGACTGGACCCACTTCCTTTAATGAAGTCCAGCATCTGCCCAGAGCACCGCTGCGGCCAGCTGGGCAAAGACTAAAAGAACTTCTACTTTTCAGATGGAGCTGCTAATAGCCAGTATTAAGGTCAGAACCAGAACCCGAAGAGGCATCTGCATCAGTTCTACAGAACTCGGGATGTTTCTTACTGCACCAAAGCTGAGTTTGTCATTCAGACGACTCAGAGATGGTGGAAGTGTTTCCTGAAGCTTAGAGAAGCACAAGAACTTCTGGATGTTGGTGTTTCCTGCTACAACATCACTGACCCATTCACCCTGGACAGGAATAATCAACAGCAAAGGATGCCAGCCTCAGCCTGCAGCTGAAAACAGGTGGGGTTCTACACATTTGACCCGTTCTGATCGTATTTCAGCTGGTCAGTAACCACATCAAACTTTCATAAACAATAAAAAGTTCCCCGATGATTCGGTTAGCTAACAGAACCGGGTCGGAATGATCCACCGCCCTCCATCTTTCTCTCCACCAAACTTTCGTTGACGTTAAAGAGCAAGTAACGCCTAAATGAACTTATTTTGCTGATAACCTGTATAGACGAGCGTCTAATAGTGCTGTACACATGTGTAATCATTAGTGTGGCAGTTTTGTGCAACTTACTTTACATTTAATATTTCAGCCCAAAACCATAATTATAACTCCATCTTCAGGTTAAAACTCTGCTCCACATTTATGCAGAACCAGCTGTGGCTGATGGCTAAGCTGAAAAACGGTGTCAGCAGGTTACTACGTGGCTGCACTGCACTGGTCTCCAGGTGAGGCAGCGGCACCTCCTCCTGGCTCAGCCACTCACCTGCTGATATGATACATTAGCGCTCGGAGCCGCTTGCCTCCGTGAAAAAAATGCCCTCCTCCCCCTTTCATCTAATGATCGTGGTTAACATGAAATCCTCCAGAATGCTGCAGAATCTGTGTCTGCTCTTCTCCTGAGCGGTAAGTCTTGTGTGAGTGCGTGCATGGTCGAGTGCGCACGTTAACAACTAGTTTTTAGATTGAGAAACTGACAGCGCACGTGGGGGGTGCGGTCTATCACTGCCTCAGTGCCGCTTTCTCGGCCGGCCCGGCCACGCCTCTTTTGGAAGCATTTTCCCAACAGGAAGTGTGGATGAAACACGTCTCCACCCAGGCCTCGGCCTTCACGTTAAAGAAGAGAAGAAAACCACCAGCAACAGTTATGAAGACTACCAGAGAAATGTAGAAAACGTCTTACACAACCAGCAGGACTACTGGAATTCCACCTCTGGTTGATAACAGATGTTGATTTTAGGGATGTTCTGACCCAAATGGGCCGAGCTTTGATGTTTTACATCTGTTAGATTGTCTCTGACAGCAGCTCAACTGTTTCAGATTTGCTTAGATCGAACTGCTGCTGCAGCACAGTCATCCTGAGAGGTTTACATGAAGACTGATCTTAAAAACGTCTTGCCTCCCATCCCAGACACTCCTTCAGTTCCAAACCTCGGGTTAGGACTGACTGTCCTGCAAGTCTTTTCGCATCTTTTTGTTTAGAAAAAGTTAAAACAAGGTTTTGTCTGAATTAAGACGATGTTATGGTTCCTTTTGTCCCCACCACACACACATTCCTTAGAAATGACTCGGTCCGCTGAAGTCCATCCCACCTGATTCGTTAGAAATGACTCGGTCCGCTGAAGTCCGTTCCAAGTTTTCCTGGTTACGTTGCTATTCTGCACACATGGCGGAAGTGACTGATGGGGTTGCCAAAGTTAAAACATACATAAAAAAACGAACCAAAGTGAAATTTCAGCGCAGACTTGTCAAAGCTAGAAGAGAAGTCTCTATTCTATAAGAAGTTGTTTCCATGTCTGGTATGCCCACAGACAGAAGGAGCAGGTTTTAGCTGGCTAGTCCGTGTTTATGAGGCAGACTGGACATGTGGTTCTGATCCAGTCTGTTGCTCCAAAAAACAATAGCTAAACTGAACTCTCACTTTAAACACCTATAATTTAGCTGTTACCAATAAAATGTCTTCTTTTAAAAACATACAGTATCAGTAATTTATCTGAACTTACTAGAACTATTTTTATTTCAGACAGGCAGAAGTTGAGTCTTGTGCTGCAAACCCAACACACATGAATGGGGAATGTGACATCATCTGTCCTAAGAAGAATTACATTCCACTGTTGTTTCTACTGTACATGCACCCTCTTGTAAAGATCATTGATTCTTTTCATAATGTCTCTTATCACCTACATCCATGCCTTTATCTCCTCCCATCTAGAGAACTGACATGAGAATCCAGGGTGAGAGCTGGGTCAAAGGTCACACCAAGATTCCTGACAGAGGGTTTGGTGTGAGAAGCAAGCTGACCAAGAGAGTCTCTGACTTTGGGAACCAGCTTGTCTGGGGCACAGATGAGGATCTCAGTCTGATCTTCATTCAGCTGTAGAAAGCTCCCAGCCATCCAGGTTTTGATAGAGGCTAAGCAGGTGTGTAACAGCTGCAGCTTAGACATCTCATGGGGCTTAAAGGAAATGTACAGTTGGATGTCATCTGCATAAAGATGGTAGGAGATTCCTTTGAAGGAGCTCAGGATGTGCTGAAGAGGAAGCAGATAGACGAGGAAGAGCAGAGGCACCAGCACAGAACCTTGTGGGACACCATGGGAAAGAGAGGTGGTGGAGGACCTAAACTTGGAGACGGCCACAGAAAAGGAACATTCAGACAGATGAGAGGGGAACCACTCCAGAGCCATTCCTGGCAGGCCTACCCAGTCTCTCAGCCTCTCCAGTAGCAGGTGATGGTCAACAGTGTCAAAGGCTGCAGTCAGGTCCAGCAGGACCAGAACAGAACAGTCCCCTGTATCACTGTGGGTCAGAAGGTCATTAGAGACCCTAAGAAGAGCTGTTTCAGTAGAATGAGCTCTACGACAACCTGACTGGAAGCTATCATAGATGTTATGTTCATCAAGAGCAGCTGAGCGAAAGGACCGTCTGTGTTTACAGACTGACTTGATATTAGGTTAGGACTTGTTGGGATGGACTCTTTAGGTCTCTGATGATCTAACATCTCACAACTGGTCTGATGATAATCCAACAAGGACCTACCACATCCTGGATGACTGTGAACCCTCACCAGCAGCACAGGTTCTAATGTACCTTCAGCAGATTGATGATGGAATTAACTTCTTCTAAACGCAACCTCAGAGCCAGAAAGAAACATTTTATCCCAGTTCAAAACAAAACTGGTGTTTTTAAAAGGAAACCAAAAGTAATTCTCAGAATACTGAGTTTTAATCCTCTTTGTTGTTGGGATGCAGCGGTCTACACTTTAATCTAATGACACACCCACACACACCTCTGGGGTGTTTGATCCTGCAGATGAAACCGATTTTAAACAGGTGTCACTGATCAGCAACAAGAAAAATATAAAAGCAAAGATCAAAAATGACCAAACACAAAAGAGAGGTGTGGAGTTCAACAGGGCATGTCATCATGAGAGCAACAACAACCAGTAAAACACAGACATAAAACAGCCAAACTGATTTCTCCACCAGACAAAAATACCTGTTTCTGTCAACAACAAACTACACATTCATGTTCTCTGCTTCAGCAGCAGACTCGCCAGCCAGGATGCTGCTAGGGTTAGGAGGGTCCAACGCAGCGTTCCTAGACCAAACTTTGCAAAGCAAGATTGTGGTCTAGTTCACCAGGCTGACATAACCCAGCAATACTCTAACAATTTCTCACTGTCTACTTAGGACTTAAGTACATCCATGTACTCTTGCAATAGGATCTCGGTAACCCCCAAATTCCACTACCTCCGCTCCGACACGAACGCCGGAGAAAAATCGGTCCCGTTGTAGTCAATCAGAGCAATTCCACTACTGCGGCCGTGCTCCGGCAGTGCGGCGCCGTGCGCCGCCCTCTATTCCGCCGTCCGGCAAAAATAGAATCTATCCTATTTTCGCCGGACGCCTGAGCACCTCCGCAGTAAATGGACAGAAATCACAACCGCCCAACAGGAAAAGGAGCGAGCACAACTTCCGTTTTTCACAATAAATCGATAAACAAAAGGCGTTTTTTGTTTCATATGCACAGGTTTAACAACTTTTAACAACTATCAATGGTGGCTGAAGTTAAATGTACAAAAGTAAGCCATAAATACAGTTTCCACTATCAAAGTAGTCACACTTTGTTGA